CTCTGGGTAATCCTTTCTGACCAGGGTCTTCCAAAAAGTGGCTTCTCACAGGGCTCGTGCCTTACCACATGAGCTCTGGTTCAGCAAAACCCAGCAGCGCTGTCATAAAGTGAGGCACGTGAGGAGCCAGCTGCGCGCGCACGGGAGCTCGTGCACGCTGCGGGCTGTGAATGCCCCCGGGAGCCACCAGGCCGGGCCGGTGGGATGGTGACATGGGAAGCGCCCCCACCGCAGTGCCTGGTCTGGTGTCCCCAACACCCACGCAGCAGAGCCGCCCCTGCCCCTCCTGCACTCCTGTCCTGCCGCCAGCTCCCAACCACGCGAGAGTAGCTACAGCAACTGGGGGTCCACAGAGAACCCAAGGCTAACTCCTGTTAACTCTGCTTCCCTTCCCCGCATCTGCTTGAACATGCTATCTGCTTCCAAAGTTAACAAATAGGAGAAACACCAGTTTGCTAAGTTTTGCATCAACCAGTTCTTCTCCCACAAAAACCACTTGCTAAAGAGCTGTTTCTGGCTTTCTTACTGTTTTTAAGAGAAGTCACGGTCTTCCTTCTGACTCTCCTGAACTCTGCGCAGTTGTGCTGCCGCTCTCTTTTGTTTTCTCTTTGAATAAAAATAAACAAGGTGTTGGTTGAGGTGGGATTTGGGAGGACAGTCAGCCTAGAGAAAAGCATTTAAAAGTACACCTTTCAATTTACAGTACGCGTTTTACCTGAATTCATTGCTAGCTCAGAAAGCTTCTGAGAGCAGATGCGAATCCTCACGTGGCTCAACGTAACCTCAGGCCACTTTAGTACTGTTTTCCCTCCAGGTTCATGCAGTTGACCGTAAGTGTGTTTGCTTGTCTTTGAAAAATAAGCTCTCTTTCTTTGCCAGACAGGGTTTTCTCAGCCTTCACAGCTCTAATTTTAATCTAGCTAGAACATTTTCACTTAAACCTTTGGGCAGAAAATTCTGGCTTCATCAATTAATTTTTATAGCATAGTTATTCCAGCTATACTGACTTTTCTCTCTTCATTTTTTCCTCCAGTTAGAGTACTTGTAAATTGAAAATGAACTTGTGCTAAGACAACATTAGGAATTATGTTACAAGAAAACTGGACTGATCTTGATGGTCATATGCACTTAGGTTGGTTCTTTTTCCCCATGCTTACCCAGTAGTAAAAATATACTGTACACCATACCTTACTGTATGGAAATTTTAATGTTTGTAGAAGATATATGTGCTCAGTGAGCCACAGTCCTATATAGTCTTGTTAGCCTTAGTTAAAATTTTTGCTGTTAGATTTTAGTCAGTGCCTGACAGTGTATAATACTCTGTTATACCCACTGAATTTATACAAAAGTTGGGTCATCTATATTGCAAACAAAACCACAGTGATACCTGGGCTAAAAAGCCACTTAAGAGTATGAAAAAAAACTGCTTAAGCCTAGGTAGTCTTCCAAAATGAAGGTTCACCCATAAGGGCAAAATCTTATGCACAGTTAGCCACTGGGAGTGCTTTGGACTGAGAACAGAGCACAGCATCTGCACCTATTAATCAATCGGCGCAGTGAGGACCAATTGACTTCAGTGAAGATAATTGGTCCAGAGGAAAAAGTCAAAGGGGAGGAAGGCCAAAGTAGGTTAGCATAGTCTGAAACCTTGAGGACATGCCGTTTCTGGTTCATGTTGAGGTATTCAAGCTACCTGTAGAGAAGGAGTATTTGGTGCATCTCTCAGACGCTTCAGGATTCAGGCAGAAATCTCACGGAGCTTGGCTGAGTACGCCTTGGACATTTTCGGGGCTTTACCTCACCAAGCCTGGAAGTGGGGAGCCGAGTGGTGGCTTGAGGTGAAACACGGTGAAAAATGTATGTAAGTTGTTTTTGGCTCTGTTTTGGGTTTCCTCTGTTTTGGGGATGCTTCAGGGACTGTCTCCTTCCCTGTGCGGACAGGGGCATGGCTCCTCTTCCCCCTCCCAGTCCCGGGTGGCCAGCAGGAGTTACTAGTTACTGGTGGGGTAACACAGCTCTGGGGGGAACTGCTGGGGGAGGAATCTGCCCTTAAAAAGATTTTTAAGGATGGGCTGGACAAACATCCTTCAGAAATTATTTAAATGTTGTTGGCTCTGCCTTGGGGCAAAGGGGTGGGCTGCATGACTTCTCACCCTGTCTTCTGTGGACACCCAAGCACATCCTGCGGCACTTTGCCATAGGAGTGCCTCCACATCCTTGTTCTGACAGGTCTGGAGATAGAGGATTAATTTTATCACTGGTTTTATCACCTTCCTTGAAGATCTCTGAAGGCCTCACATGCTGAGCTTTAATGAGAGATCTGTGAAACTACAAGCTTGTCTTTGGACATCTCTTTAAAGATGCTCCTACCTATGCATTTCAATTAGATGCGAAGAGGTTTATGGCAGCCATCTTTGCATCTGGTGATTGCAAGTGATAGCATCAGGGATAGCAGAGGTGTAAAATCAGTGTTTGCCGTGTATTCCTCTCTGCAGTGTACAAACAACCTCTTTCACACATCCCCCATTTCCAGGTGTCCCACAAGCCAGTAGATTGCTGCTGCCAGAAGTGGTTTGCAATTCCTCAGTAACTCTCAACTAATTTGCTGATGCCCTCAGAAGTTTAAAAGCCACTGCAGCTGCCTGTTTAACAGCCAGGAGATAGGGTGACTGTTATTTAAATGGCATAATGACCATCACAGTAAACCTACAGTGAAGTATATTTAAAGAATGATTTTTGGCTGGAAAACATAGCCCCAAGCCTGAGTCTAAAGAAATCAGGGGAAACACATCTTTCCCTAGCCTCACATTCATTTGGCTGCCTTCAAGGTGTCCGCCTGATTTCTGCCAAGGCTGTAGTTGTTGTTACAGCTTCCCAGCTGCTACTGTAGCAAATGTTGTTTGTTCAAGCAAAGAGCCTGTGCGTTCCTGGACACAGCTTCCTTTCCTTCTGGTCAGAGAAGGGACTTGTGCAGGGGAAAGTAAATGTTGCCAGCTGCACTGCCGACTCGTTTTGCTAGTCAGTATGTAACATTTTGCTTCAGGGCAAAATACCTCGTTGTCTTATTTTCTGCTAGGGAGGAAGCTTCAGAAGTATCTCTTTGCTTGAAAATTAATATTCACTAGGTGGCATTTGCGGGTTTTGCACGGGGCATTTGGGGGGTCACCGGGGTTGGATGCTAAAGAGAAGTTTCACGCAATGAAGCATACCCTGGGTTTGTGACCACAGATGCGCTAATCACCGTATGGGTAACGCAGGCAGCCTCCCGAGGCACGGCGCTCCCAGTGGTCCAAGCCCCATGGCTCCTGCAATATCCCTTCGCCCTCCAGATACTGTGATTGAGGCAAACACTGTGCCAACTGCTGAAAACTTTTCAAGTACTCTTACTTTCCGGACGAGCTGTAGAAAGGAGTCCGGCTGCAATACATTCACCTTGCGCCACAAAGCAACAGTCCATATATACATGAGACCACCCAACACACCAGCCAGCTTCCTGCAACTGGGTTTTCACAGGCAATGTATAGTCGGAATACTCTCAGCAAAACCTAGAGAATTGGCTTACGTATCCCCACTGGGGTTCAGCCGCATGATAAAACCTTACAGTAATGAGCCTGTCGCTCTTAAGGGTGGATGGGGTGGAGGAGGAAAGAGATGCTGCTGTATTATCTGTATTACTCCACATCACAGATGCTGACAGAATTATTGATTTAGAACTCACAGCTCCAAAAAGACTCAGTAATGTAATCTTTTTAAGGTTTTTTTTTTCTTCCCTCAGATGTGATGTTTTCAATAGGCCCCTTAGATATGGGCTCTTTGGGGACGTTGTTAAACTTGCTGCTGCTAAACCGCAGTCCCAACCTTCGGTTTGTTCCATACAACTCTCGCGGTCTACTGTCTCTTGGAAGAGCCCATAGCTGCAAGGTCTATTGCTTTACAGGTACTCTAGGAAGATTGAGGGATTAAGTTATACATTACGTAAAACTACCCACTAATCCTCTTAGTGTGCACTACCAGTGAATGGCCTGAAATAGGCTCTCACTAAAAGAGCCCTAACATTCACTTTCTTGATGACATTTTAGTATTTGAGGTTTGTGTCATGGATTTTGGTGCTGAAATATTCAGTACACCATCTTCTGTCTGCTGCTAGATCCACTTGCACGTGTTAGTAGAGTGCCTACAAAATTACAGTTGGTAAAGCAGATTACGTGTTTAACTAGTAGCAAGACATGTATAAAATAGAATTATATATTTTCTAGAGTGACAGAGTCACTGGGATTTTTTTGTTCTTTTTTGTTTTTGTAAGAAAAAGAAACAGCTATAAAACCATGATTAAAAATGTTACAAGGGATGATTTACATTTTAAAATGATATTTTTAGAAGAAAAAAGTGATTTATAACATAAAAGTGTTTGGAAAGCATTTGGTTGCTGTGTACTGCCTTCTTTCCCAGTACAGTTTGCTATCTGTTATACAGTCTTGCATAAATGTTTAGATTAGGGGAGAAAAGAAAAATTAAATGTGATGGCTAAGACCTATAAGAGCTGACTCACTGACTTGAGTTATTGCTGTGCAGAAAGTTTGTAAAGCCTTTACATCCAGCGAACATTTAGTGCTACTTCAGCCTTGACAGTTGACCTTTCAATCTGATTGGGTTTAGCCACAATAATTGCAGCATCTGCAGTACAGGCGGTGCAGACGGCTGCTTAGGAACCCAACTTCTCTCATTAGATCTTACTTCACGCGTCTAAAATTCAACCCCTCTTTGCATGTGTGTGCAAATTCTCTCGTAATACCTGTTATAGGAGCTGAGCAAGGTACAATCCCCCAGCTCTTTTTTTAAATTTATTTTTAATTTCTCCCATCATTTTGAATATTCCTGGATTTAGACTGGGGGGGAGGGAAAACCTCCAAACCCCTTCCTCTCCCCAGGTACTTAGTCAGTACTGGTTTCTTTTTTTTTTCTCAGTAAGACCTAGTGTAAAAAAGCAACAAAGAAACAGGTTAGACTGTTGTAATTTGGTCAACCACTCGGGTGCTATCCATATCCACCATTTCAACACACTCTATTTCCTCACGGTTTTCAGGATTCTTCTTCTCTTTCCTCTTCTTCTTGGACGGTGGCAGGAAAGTCAGTATCACAGGTAAAATGGCAAAGCAGTGAAAGAAGGTGACTAATGCTATTAAAAACAAGCACCTGAACAGTGTACGGGTCAGATTTGAAGGCACAGCTGCAAGAGGAATCAGACCAACAATATAGCAGAGGTAGCTCTGCAAAATAGCTACCCCATGCACTTCCAGGGCATTTTTCACCCATTTAGTTCTTGTGAACTCTTTGCCCAGGACAAAGGTTGATAACAGTGGAGCACAGTTGTCAATTGTATAATTAATTCCGTAAATTAAGCACAACACAGAAATACAATCTAGTTCCACTTTCCACAAGGTCATAAAACCTATAACTCCAAACTCAACTGAGGCAACAGTTAGAGTGAGCCAGACATTGATCAGAGAGTCTGCCACCAGGAATGCAGAGAAGAAGAGCAGAAATAAAGCACTAATGCAGGAGTTTTGTAAGGGGGCTCCCACTGAAGAGGCATAACGATCCATGTACACAAACGATGGATTGAAAACGATGAATTTCACCTTGGAGGTGAGAGAGAGCTTCCTCAGGGTCTCCAGGAGGTCATAAAGTTCTTCTCTCTTGGTTTCCATTGTCTTGGCCACCAAGAACATCCTGGAGGCCACGACATCGACTTCGTTGTTGTATTTCTTGGAAAAGATGATATCCTCTGAAAAATGGGCAAACTGAGGGGCCTTCAGGAAGGAGTTCCTCAACATATCAGTGAAGTTTTTCTTGGGCAATCCAGTAGATATGTTGAGTTTCCTAAGGTAATTTAAGTAGCTTTCAAACCAAGATATCCTCACAAAGCCCTTGGTATACTCCAGCACGTCCTCCTGGACACTGGTGTTCCAGTACTCGATTGACTCGTAGATGTAGAACCCAATCACTGGGCTGTAGTTACTGAAATACTTCTGCTGGGCAGTCGTATACTCAATGGTCCGTGTCGCGGTCGCTACGATGTTGCTCAGGTCTGACCCTTCACTGACCTGCAGGTAGCCCATTAAGGCAAAGGAAATATAAACAAGGTAAAAGAGAACTACAAAAGGCTTGACGTAAGTGTTTGTTATCCAGTCACAATAATAGCGTTTAAGGAACCACACCAAAAGATGACTCTCGTAAGTGTTCGTTTCCTCTGAATCCGCTGTGTCCTCGCTGAATTTGGCTGTCAGAAGAAACCTATACCATGCAGGCTTCTCTTGCAATACCTCTGGCTTTGGTACCTTTCTGCAGAAGATACTATGCTGGTAGTTGTTTTCTATGTAGCCAGTAAACACCAGGCTGGAACCATAAAAGGAGAGTACATAGAGGTAGTTGAAGAAAATTGCAATACAGGAATTGCAGCAGAAAATCCTGGCTGCTTCAATGTTAGTGAAGGGACTGGCACCTATTCCAAAAGTGACCAGGTACATGGCAGTGGTGAGAGAAAACGAGAGCATGGAGTCTGCAAATACGGCTGCAGTCCTCTCTTTAACGTGTTGGTCTTCTCTAGTTTTTCTCCAGGAGGACAACATTTCAAAAGTCCCATATAACCCATGACCTACAATAGAGAACAAAGCGAGTGTTTAAAGTACTCGAATCAACATGCGGAAAAATGTAACGTGGACATGCTAAAAGACTCAAAGGAGACACAGCTTGCCGTTATCAATGCTTGAGGTAAACGTCCTGCAGAAGAGAGAAATTATTATGGTGGTCTAAGCCACGGGAGCGCATTCGCTACCTGACTAGCAAACCTTACTGCCAGAGCTTGAGGAGAGTTCTGCATCGGTGGCGCAGGGTTGATGGGTTAAAGAAAAAGGATTTTTTTCTGGTTGGCTGTTTCGTTTCATTATTTTGGAGTGCCTGTGATGGAAGATGCTTTGAAATTAGTTTTTCCTGGTGATGGGATCTGACCTGCGGTGAAAACAAAGAAATATGACCTTGAAGTGCCTATGCTGGAAGCAGAGCATTGGTTGGCTGCTTTGTAGGACATCTGTAAAAAAAATGAAACCTTCATATAAGCTGAACATTGTCAAGTAAATCAGTCACTGATTTCTCCACTTCCCATACAAATTTTTCATCAGGAAAAAGAAATCCTAGAAACGGAACAAACACAAAAAGCACAAATAAATTTGAGAGATGCAGAATGGTAGAATTGATATGGAACTGCTTAAGGCATTGGTCTTCTTACTTTAATATATCTAAGGGCTTGTAAACCCAAATACAGCTCTATTTTTCTTGGCAGTTCCTACATTTTTTATTTTGTATTTTTTTTACTTAAAATGGATATAGCACTCATGAAAGGAGACGCAGACCTAAAATCCTGTGTTTAACCCGAAGTGCAGGTAAATCGGGAAAAGTGCATGGTTTTATCTTAATCCCTGGTTGTCATCTTCCTCTTATGGTTTCTTTTTTGTGACCGATAACCAAGGCGCATTTGGAGGACACAGACCTTTGCTCTCTCATAGTGGACCTGAGCTGGGAACGCAGCCATCAACCAGCTATCAGATGAGAGTGGCTGAGATAAAAGTAGGCTGGTGTTTTACACAAAGATGAACGTAAAAATACAGTCTTTGTATCACACCTAAAATGTAAGACTTTAATATTTTCTCATAATAATTTGTATCATGTTCATCTTTACTTAATATATCCTTTCCATCTAATCCCACCCTCTTTGCTGCCTTTTGATTACTCCTCCTCCTTACTCTTTTGCTGTTTTTGCTGTCCCCTGTCTACCTCTCTGGTCTGCTCTTGTATTATCTCTAGAAATTCCCAAAAGCCAGTCCACGGTGTTTTGCTCTTACCCATTCCCTGATAACATTAGATGAAACGATCAGTGCTGAATTAGTTACCGATGACACCGAAGTGCAATCACTGGATTTTTGATGCTGATGCTCCAGTCAGGCAGGTCAAGGTAATTCAGAGATCTTTGTGAGAATTTCAGGCTGGCTACAAAGAACCAAAATTGCTGTAGCGGCTCTGTTCTCTCCACCTGTAGATGATTATCACTTTTGCCACAAGGGCTATGAATATCGGTCAAGAAACCCTCAAACAAATGAAGTATTCTGAAGAACCAGAACCCCAAAAAATAAAGTAGGGGGGGGTTGGAACTAGGTGATCTTTAAGGTCCCTTCCAACCCAAACCATTCTACGATTCTATGATTCGATGATCAAATTTATTCTTAAATGCCTCACGTAGGCTAAATATTTAATTAACTTGACAAAATAACCCTTTTGTGGTCAGTACCTTTTACTGTAGGGGCAGCTGCAGTTGATTCACTCCACCCTTCCTGCAAGGAATATCCTATCTACATTTTAACAGATGGCAGAGCTGATCACTCTGTTAATGCTGAAAAGAATAGGTATGGGCTATTTTATAAAGAATTCAAAATACAGAGCTCATAAGATGAGATAATAGGACAGCTGCTGTATCTCCTTATCACGGTCACCTGGTATTTAGAGTAACAAAGTCCGTGCTCTCATGTATATCAGGTATCTTACCTACATTGTTATTTGGAGTCACGGCATGGACCACGGCTGTCCAATTTGTAGCAGTATTACGCTCCTGGTTTTGGTATGGCATTTGGCATTCATCTTAATTTTCCCAAACAATGTTTTACAGCTGCTTTCAGAGGCCAGGTCAAGACTGCCAATTTGATAACTAGCACCGTGCCCCCTCTTAAAGCTAATGGGGAATACTGGAACTCCCCAGACGTAAAATCAAGCAAAAAGCACAACCAGCGACTGGCACCCCGTTGCTAATTATGCTTCAAATAGTTATGTTCTAGGCTCAGTAGGGAAAGCTATTAAGCTTGCTTTCAGTGTGTTCTTTGTAAAGACAGACTGACCTTTATTTAAATGTAACTGATCACTTGCCAGAGGAGGGAGTGAGAGGTTTAATCCATTTATGGCTCCCATAAGTCCTGCAGACAGGCTCGTCTGAGAATTTCACATGGCATCATATGCATTAGCTTCCAGTGAGCAAAACAGTATAAAATGAGGTCACTGAATATTACAAATTACTTCCATTGTGAGCTTTAGCTATAGTATGTTTTTGTAAAAAAACATTTCAGCGTTAATAGGCTCTTGCCTAAAAATACGCAAATAGCTGCATTAATTTAGAAAGCCTTTGACTTTGCAATGAATAAAAGAATTTAAAGCTAATTAAATATGATGCTGAGCATGACTTTTTAACAGGTGTAAGATTTTGGATAATGTCTGATAATATGACTCCTGATACCGCATATTTTCTTTAAGTAGGAAACATAAAAACACAATTTGCTCTTACATAATCTTCGAGACTACCCGAAAATGGAATCTGATTTAGAGAACTGCTCAAGTAAATGCACGAAGAGGCGTCACCGCATGTGCTCCACAGAGCCAACAGAAAAACATTTAGATACTCTTCTATTTTAGGATAGGTTCCTTTTGTTGTTTGCTACACAATCTGCACGCTAGGAATTGGTATTTTCCTTCAATTGAACAATTTGTTATTCCTCTGTCCATTTGTATAATAGCTACAAAATTCTCAGTTACCTTTAGGAAGACAAGCCTAAATGACAAACTTGCACACTTTTTGCATCAGTGGCATTACTGACCTGATCCAGTATCCTCTGAGAAAAAGATTAAGCCCAAACTCGTGCACAAATTAGGCAAGGCAGTCCAAAGATTAGCCTTATTTAGCTAGAATGGGATTCACCTAACCTAATTTACTCCTCTAAATACTGACCGCAGGCACAAGTTGGGGTGACAATCTCCAACGTTGTCTTAACTCGCTGATGCTCGTATAAGTCTAACCCACAGAGATTAGGGCAGATAGCTCCATGGAAGCATTTTGTGAGAATTTCTTTCACTATTCTGTCATTTCAGAGTTTCCATTTTTTGCATCCCTAACTGATTTGCACCGATCACCTCTATTTCTCTTGCTGGTGCTGTGTCTTCCCTATATAATATTAATGAGAAAAAGGCAAATTTTTCCTTGCAAATAAATTCTGTAATTGCTTTAACTGATTTTCCCTTTTTACTAGAGATTGAGCCACAAATCTGTAATGATTTAGAGCAATTTGTTCATTATTCACAGTCATTCAGTAAATAATAAATATGAACTCAAACAGCTAATGGGCTACTGGAGATCTTTTCCTGTTGACATTCGCTATTATAATTCACTGGTTGTGCCCTGCAGTCAGGCTGTACAACCATGAGCTAAGAAGAAGGAGTATAGGGAAAGACGGGATTTTTTTAAGGAAAAGAGGTTCTGAATGGGCAAAGGAAAATCTTAGGGGAGTAGGAGAAAGGTATTGGAGAAAATGCAGAGCAAAATATTTTTTTCCTTATTCTCTTTTTCTACTACTTTGCATTGTAGGAGATAGTCCTACCACATGTCTTGGATGACTGAGGACAGAAATTCTGGCTTTTGTAGCCAAAGAAAATGAAGAAGATAGTCACTCTTATTTCTGAGGAGCTTAAATTTTTTACGGGCTGAGGTGGGCTATCCTTAATTTCAGAAGCTAATAAAAACACCAGCAATCTGCTAGGTTTTAAATAAATTATGCCTAGCTTAAATACAGAGCTTTTATGAGTAGCCTGAAAAATGCTACAAAAAGTTTGATTTGCCTCCTTCAGGATCAAGTCTTGCAATTACACATGCTCTGCAAAATCAATGCAGAGTGTGCATGAGAGAAAAAAAGCACTTGTAGGAAGCTGTGAAAACTAAGGCAAAATTTTCTGTTGCTTAAAATTATCAAATTATTTCCCTCATTTTAAACACTACTTATGGGCAGGCACTTAAAACTGTTCCTTTTAGCACCATTTTAAAATCTCAAAAAAGAAATGCATCCTTTCCCCTGCTAAGTGGTTGTTCAAGCAAGAGGCCTTTACGAATGGGCATCAACAGCTTATGCTTAAAGTTGGCTCCGCTCCTGCCTGGCAAATGGCAGGACTGAAGCAGAGAGGGATGAAGAGATTTAAAGCAGCCCCAGAGCCTGTGGGAGGGCAGCGAAGTAACCTCCTGGTCACCGGAGTCCCAGACCAGCTCTCTATTCGCTTGGTTTAATTGCTTCCCTAAACCAAAGGCTGCTGTCTGATTTTATTGTTTAAAGATTAAGGGATGTGTTCAATTTTGCACTAAAATCATGTGAGGTTTCGATCTTATCATGATAAGATGAGGTTTGGGTATTCAAATAGACGACTTCTGTAAGAGAAAGTAAGGGGAATGACTGAGAACAAGGTTTTGGTTCTTCTTCTTGCAGTTTTACCCACCCATGAAAGTAGAGAATAACAGTACACTGTGGCTCTCATTTTTTTGTTCTGTTTTGAAGGTTGTGTGTGTTTGATACTTGAGTACAATCTCTCTGAATAAAGTCTCACTTACAGGTTGTGAAGTTCCAGCCTTCTGTGTGGAAGGTCGCGTTTCAGGGGTAATTAATTTTATTCATCCCATTTTAATGCAGTGGCACGCAAAACGCTAATAATGATTGATCTCCACCTCAGTGAGGCTGAATGCTACACCAGTACGTATGTTGCCCATTAACTGCCAGAATTAAGACTAAGAAAGCACCAAAC